GTATGACTGCCTGGGTTCAAGTCCCGGCTCAGTGCTCATTTCAGCTTCCTGCTAATGCACACCCTGGAAGGCAGCAGGTGGTGGCTTGAGTACATGGTTCCCTGTCACCCACATGGGAGTCCTGAATTGAGTTCCAGACCCCCGGTTTTGGCTGACCGTGGCTATTGAAGTCATTTGGGAAAGGAACCAGCAGACAGAGCATCTGTCTCTTTCAAATTAATAAATATCTCTTGAAAGAAAACACATTGAACATGCATAGCCTATGGCATATCTGAGCTCAGCAAGACAGGACACTGTAGAGTGTGGGTCCCTTCCCCCTCGTGACCGCTGGGCTGAGTGAGTGAGAGTTGCACTTGCTGTCACTGCATAGCATCACGAGACAGGGTCAGCCTGTGTCCTGCTAGCATGGGAAAAGATCCAAATCCAAAGGACAGGGTCTACCAAGTGAGTGCCACTTCTGCATCTTCACAAACACTGCAAACCAGGGGTTGTATGCGTACAACAAGTGCCGTTACAGGTGCTAGGTGGATGGCGCTAAGCGACAAAGATGGGCATTTGCCCTGGGGGCTCACAGTCTGACATGTGTGTGATCTACCATGCCTTCCAGATCAGTTTTTCTCTGCCCTTTCCATAGCCAGGCATCATCTTTAAGGCACTTTGGGTTTACCTTTCATTTGACCATACTTTCTGACTTTGTCCTTGACCCTGACATTCTGTATCATTGTTACCTGCTCAGTGTTTACATTTTGACGGCTATAATTTACTACATGGATGGCAGAATCAAAACATACGTCATTCATTCATCAAGTCCACACATATCTGTGGAGCTTCTCTCTGTGTGTTAGGCACTATTTTAGGTTCTCTGAAAAAATGAAAAAAGACAAGAAGCATTGTTCTCATGGAGTTCACAGCCGAGTGCCAGTGTTCTCAGAAACTAGCACACCATCCTACGAGCCATGTGGCATGTGTGTTTTCTGCCACAGCTGACACGGGGAGACGAGGCTTTGGAAAATGTAAGAAGAAAGGAAAGAACTTTTCCACTGCCAACTCAGTCCTGGCTGACTGTGTGTCTGCCATCTTGAGGCCTCAGGAGCCCCAGGCAGAGGCAAAGTAAAGCATGGGAGAAGTAAACAGGAGGAGCCCAGGACGCACAGCAGGTGTTCCCAAGGCTGTTATCCACACCACTACCCCCCAACCGAAACACAGTCATTGAGTACTGGTATCCAGGGCAACACACGCCAGGTGCCAAGAGAGGCACTGAGGGTGACAAATGAGGTGGCTGCCATTGGAATCTTGTGTCCTCAGCCCAGTCCAGATGATGAGCTTGTGCAGGACTCATCGACATTACTCCAAAACCACTGAGGTCATCTTCACACAAATGCCTTCTACAACATGGCAGTCAATTCATTTAGCACTGGGGACTGGAGAAATTCAGAGTGGCTACGGAAGGCGCACATAAATCCCACTTCGGAGGTCTTGAAGATGCTCTCCTTCTTACTGCTATCTAATACACTGACACATTTTTTTTAAGTCTGCAGAGTGTCTATTTGTCTCTTTTTCTGCCTCTGCAGGAAGATTTAAAAAAAAAAGTGTCGAAATTGCAAGGTGGAAGAGCCTTTGGAAATAATGTGTTCTAGTCCTCTCCTCCATGCAGAAACCTGTACATCTCTCCAGCTCCCTGGGCACCTGGCCTCCCCCAAACTGACTGTCTGAGGAGGCTGCCCATTGCACGGGCGGGAAGCTCCTGGGTAAAACGCTTCCTCTCACCCAGAGCCAAGCTCTGCCTTGCTGTCACTCCCACGCAGTAGTGCAACGTCTCATGCCCCAAGCTCAACATACATTCTGCTGAGTCCTGGAGCTGCCCCAGCCAGCCTTCAGGAAGCCTGACCTGGAGAACCCCCGCGAGTCCTGCTGGGGAGCACAGCTGACCCAGGTCTCCGCACAAGGAGCCTCCAGGGCTTTCATGCAAGGAGGATGCTTAGAAACCTGTGTCAGCACCTCAGAGGTGCCTGGACAGGGTACTACTCACCCGCACTACACTCCCCCAGACTTTCAAACCCACTCATCAAAGAGGAGCAAAGAAGAAATCTGACACATTACAGTCAATGCAAGAAAAACAAAATCAATCTCTGTGCATGGATGAACAGGTACTTTCTTTTTTGCAGTAACTGCATGAACATACTTGGAGTCCTGTGGTTTGTAAAAATAGGAGGCCATGCTATCAGATATACCAATTGCAAGCTGCCAATCAGATATCCACACCTAAGATGCTCTCAACGTGCAACGTGCTCAAGACCAGGCTCATAATGACTATATTCCCTTCCCTCCCCGCTCTGCTCCCTGGGGTTCCATTCAAGTCCATGATACCTGAAAGCTCAGTAAAAATATTTCACTGAAAATGACCTACCAAACATCTAGCAGGGACACTTTCATTTAAGCCTACAACAAACATTGCTAACTGTTAATCAAACTGATTTCCGCCTTGCCCTGGATACAAGGTTTTCTTAGGTGTCACTGGATTAGAATGCTACATACGTGCAACAGAATCGGTGTGCAATTAATGTGGTCTGGCAGTGCACCAACCCCCACACGCTTTCTCTTTCCACCAACTGAATGTGTTGAAGATCCCTGGATGACTCTATGGAGCAGACCCTTCCTCAAACCTTTGGTCTGTAAGTGAAAAATAGAGTTCCATTGCATTTGAGCCACTGCACATTTAACTGGTGATTGATTGGTTAGCACCACTGTATCTACTACACCTTTCATGTCCTAGTCAGTCTTTTAGTCACTCTTCAATAAACATTCCTCAAACACTTATTATATTGTATGCACTGAGCAAGGCACCAGGGAAATAAAATTTACTAAAGGGGGTCAGAAGGTCTATCCAAACCAGATAATTAAAACTCAGTATAAATGATCTCATAGCAATATGTAGATCTTAAGTGAGTCACAGTGGAGAGAGCTGAGATTTCATTTTGGATCCTAGGCTACTTAAGCTACTTAATCTCTATGTGTGTTAGTATCTCCATTTGGAAAAAGCAGCAATATTCCTTTCTGTCTCACAACAGTGTCAGATGGAATAAATCAAATCATAATATATATGATTTCATGCATACGTATATATAGGTATGGCCAAAAAAACCACTTCAAGATTCTTAGTTTATTTCATTGCAATTATCCTAATCCAGCATCTATCATTCATGAAATAATTGTATCAGCATCCTCACTGGTATTTCTGTATAACATCCAAGCTAGTCTTAATGCTGGCAAGTGGATATTACTTCCGCCTGAACTTAGATCCGTCATTTCCTTATTTAAAAAAAAAAAAATCTATGACTCCTGAATGATTAAAAAATGACAGCCAAACTTTCTAATTTAATATGCAAGGCCCTACATAGCATGACCCAAGATTAATTTTTAATTAATCTCTGCATGAGCCCACCTGTTTCTTTTTCTCTCACCCTGTATGCTAGCAACACATGATTACCACACTAGATGATGCTTCCTTACCTCCTGAATGTTTTCTGTCTGCCTGGTTTTGTCCTTCACTCCCAAGTGAAAATCCCAAGATTTTTCCGTAAAACTTTTCTTCAACACACTTCTCAGAACCACCCTGTCTGTGGCACTACCACGGCATTTAGTCCAAGTCTCTTCTCCCCTAAGACACTATGTCCGTTTGGAATAGCCTATTTTGTTTAGGAAGGAAAAAGAAAAGGAAATATGTGTATCTAATGAAGACATATTATGCTAAAAATAAATAGTCCAGAAGATGGCTCAATTTCTTGTGGTTAGATCACCAAAAACAAATTACCAGAGCAATGGAATTCTCCAGACAAAGAAATAACACTTCTGTGCTTTAAGATCCATTATATTCAGAGGATGCTTTATAAGAGCTATTATATGGAACCTTCATGCTGAAAGTCACTTTTACAATAATAAATATAATCCCATCAGCAGAAGAGTAGAACCAAAGTTCAAAGTCGTTAATTCATTTCCCCAGCTAATTCTTCTTCACAGTTACAGTTCTGCCTCACTTTGGAAACAGGAGAGCAACACATGTGTTAAATTGTTTCACCAGTATCATCTAGAGCTTGGAAGTTAGTATTTTGAAAGAACTGGCCATGACTGACAAATTTTTCATTCATTTGCATATATATGAAATATAAAGGATTCACTGATGAAACTATTTAAGTTGCCCTTTCCAACCACATAGAGCTTGATTCTCCTTAAGATTAAAGGGGTGGGAGGATGCTGGATACTCTACATGTTCTGATTAGATATGGAAAGACCTAGTACGTCTATAAATATTGAACTCATGAAAAATCTGTTAGAACACAAGTGCTCTACATACCATACCAGCAGTATTTTCCATCATGGATTCTTGTAACAAACTACGCTAAAATGCAGGAAGAGTTCCTTGGGGATATTTCTCTAATGAAAAGAGAAGAACGTATTTTAACAGGCCTCTAAACGAGAGGGTGGAGATAGATCAATGGGAGTTCTGAAAATGACTTGAAAGTGCTAACCCTTTTAGACCATTTAATAAGTAATTGCAGATACAATGGTTTGTGGCAACAGATATCACAACACTACAACATGAATTAGGAGATGTTTTCTAGAAATTGTAATAAATTGCACCATTATGAGAGATTGATGAAAATTTATGGGAATTTAGCTTAGATCATTTCCTAAGAAAGCAACACACACACACACACACACAATACTAAGATATACACAGAAGTCAAACAGCCAACCACCCAACGCCACGTGAAACATTGCTAAGATGTGCCAAAGGCAATAAGTACATTTTCGTAGTGATCCTTTAAGTCATCAAATAAACAATTCACCCTGTTTCCTCACTTTCAATATTAATGCCAGGGAAACAATTACGAAAAATCTGTTCAAGGTGTGTTACAGAGTCCAAAATGTCAAAAGCTCTTCTGGCACAAAGCAGCGAATAAAAGAGAAAGCCACCCTGGGCAGGCCCTGAGCACGCTTACCTCCAAAAGTGAAAAGCGACGAGAGGACTACAGGGACTGCCTGGGCTGGACGGGGTTGGACTCAGGCTCCTTGGAGTGAGACTGAAAGTTAAAATAATGTCATTCCAAGTGGGAGAAATGATTGTGGCAAAAATAGCACAGCTCATTGCAGGGACCGTGTTCCCCTGAGACCAGAATCACTACGGGCCACCTCTCCGCACCACTGGGTCATCATCTAATCACTGCGCTCCTCTGGTGCCCTGAGATACAGCACATGTCAGAGGCTTCCTGCTCAAATGTCCCTTTTAAAAACTACAGCTGCCATTTTTATCTGAGCCTTCTTGTCAGGAAGCAACTAGGCAGATATCTCTGACATGTGATTTTGGCATCACTGAAAATCCAGTGTCATTTTAGATAAGTGTATTTTATTCCATATTAAGAATCAATGACAAAGCCATAACATAACAAAATGGAAACATTTATCAGACACCGCATACAAAAATTCTAATGAAATAACTGTAGTTTTTAAAGAGCAAAGCAGTGAACACTTTCATTTCGGAAGATAAGTTTTGAAGCACTTTGCGGGGAGAAGTGAGATTCCTTATAACAAAGAACCAACAATGTTTTTCCTGTGACCCTCAGGACTAGGGACAAACAGAGTTCTTATGCTGATATTCATAATAAAGAACTTCAAAATTTCATATGTCTAGCAAGAAGTTATTTTTCTTTCCAGAGAGATTTTCTCATTCGGCTACCAATGGACCATGGCAACCCTGTAGCCCATCAACCCACCCAAACCATTAAATATACTCAACAGCCAATTCTCAAATATTCACAACAGGACTACTAGCACGAAGTTCATTTTTAAATCTGTTTTTCCTTCCTTTTTGGCCTCATGTCTCCCCTCTGTTAGGGAGGTAATGAAACCTAAAGTATTTATGTTACTTATAGGAATTCTTGCCAAAGATCTATCCAATATGAAGTTGATACTAGTCAACTCCAGCTATTTTTCAGATACCAATGGAGCTAAGCATTACTTAGGTATTCTGACCCCAACTCTGAGGCTGAAGTGAGACACAGAAACTGCTACTGTAGTGCAGTGAGTTTCCTGAGGAGTATGCTCTGGCCCCTCTGCTGAATGATGGCTCCACACAGCATGGGGTTTTCTTGCCTTAGAGGACAAGGGTCTTGGAATGCAGCTGTGTATGGACAGACCAAGCCAGCTGTGCCCTTCACTGGCACACAGAGTAGGCCAAGAGTGGTCAAAATCAAATTTGAGCTTATTTGCAAAATTCTTCATGCCACCTTTAACTCCCATTAGGTGGATAATTGAGACTTGGCTGTGCTTGTCCTATATGCAAATATAAAACTGCTACTCCAAGTATGCCAATTTATTTAATAAGAAGTTTCAATAGGGTAAAATTTGATATCCTTTAAAACCATTCTCTGGTTTGGTGCCAGTACATGGTAAACTAAGGAACTGATTTCCTTAGACATTCAGGGCACATTCAAAAATCTGTGCCCTAAAATATACTGGACTCAACTTAGCAGCTCATTGGAAAGTTCTCAAGAATGTGGACTGATACACCCATCACTCTATCTCACTCTTTTTTTTTTTTTTTTTTTTTTTTTTTTTTTTTTGGACAGGCAGAGTGGACAGTGAGAGAGAGAGACAGAGAGAAAGGTCTTCCTTTTTCCATTGGTTCACCCCCCAATGGCCACTGCAGTTGGCGCACTGTGGCCAGCGCAGTACTGGACACTCTTATCTGTGCCTTCTGGTATCAAACTAGGCAGGCATGGGCACCGACACCATTCCCCGTCATCAAGTAGAAACATGTGCAAGGAATACTCTGCAATAACTACAAAACCTAATTCTAAAAAACCTACCCTCTTCTCAGACATCATAAAAGGACCAAACCTACCTTCTTTCTCAGAAATTAGCCAGGTGTAGGCTATTTAGATCTCACACATTTCTGTATAAAATCATAATCCATTATTCTTTGAAATATTTATACATTTCACGTCTCACACTCAGGATTTCAATTTCTGAAATAGGAACCAGTAACTGTCCCCATGTTATTAATAGTAAGATAGAACATTCTAGATTATATCTGCAGAGTATAAAAATGCTGAAGTAATAATACTCCACAGTTATAGAGCTTATTGAATCAACTCTCCTGACTCCCTCTCCCCAAAATATAGTAACGTCTCATGAGAGAATATCCAAAAACTGTTCTACACATTTGATCTGTGAGTTAAGACCCTATTATCAGATCCTGGAATAATTAAAATTACATCCACTATATCTTCTTTTAATGCCATCAGTGATAAGACTGGCTCTGCCGTGGTCAGAAGCTGAATGTACTCAAAGGCTGCAGAACGAGCTTTCTTCATGAATGAATCTGTGGCTATCTACTGAAAAGTAATTTTACACTTCAAATGAAATGTTCAAAGTAAATTATGAGCTAATGATATTTAAGGGTAATCCTCTATTCTACCATCTCAAGTCCCTGAACTGCACAAAACATACCAATCAAATAGACAGTCACATTTACCAAGTTGAAGGTTAGGCCAGGGGCATGTAGCCTGATGCCAAAGCCTCATCCAGGGAAGCCCCCGGGTTCCACTGACTCCTGCGTGCTGAGTCATCAGTGGAAAGTCATCAAACCTGGGGCACCCCTCATTGGTCCAAATCAGAAAACGGAGCACTTGCTAGAACCGAGTTGGAATTTTAAGTTCCTTTGAAGTGTATCTTCTTAATGTGAACAAGATGTTCAAAATGAAAGAAGGAAAAGCTGGATGTGAAATGACTCTACTTCCAAAGAAAACAAGGATGCAGCAGAACCAAAACCAAAAACAAAACAACGAACAACAAAAAACACAGAGGTAGAAGCTCAGCTGAAGGACAGCACTCCTGGGTCTTAAACACGAAGCTGTGGGTTTACAGACCGCAGAGAGAAGAGGGTTACGTGGGAGAATGAGTGCGTGCCACTGAAAGATTCCACAGACGTGGTGAGGGTGGAATGTCACGGTGGGGGTGGGGACGGGAAAGCATGAAGGCAGTGGCTACATCTGCTTCTCTCTCTATTCGCAGCAACGTCACATCCAGCAGGAAGGTTGCAAGAACCTCCAACTTTTTACAAGTGACTTCCTCATTAGCGTAAGATCAGCGCGCCATGGAAGCACCAGGAGTGATTGGAAAAGTCTTCTCTTCAGAAGGCTGTGCTTTTATGAATTTACTAACGACGGAAATCATTTCCCTCGTATGACGCATCTACAGACTCAAGGGGCATAATTAATTAATTAATTAATACTTGGAAACGGTCACCCTTCCTCTGCTGCAGTCTCCACCTGGAGGCAGTCCAGTAGCAGATTATCGGGACCGGGCTGATTTCACAAAAATGTCATTTTCTAGCTGAACTGTAAGTTTGAAAGAGGGATATTTGTGCTATTTTTCTACCCGATTTATAGCGTTCCATCTATTATTTTCAGTGTGCCAGCACAGACTAACTCACAGCTTCCACATCCTGGACTAACAGATTTAAAATCAAAATTTGCTGACACTTCCGGCATCACAGATGTCTAACTTCTGCGCCACAGATGAAGATGTGGACATTTTCACATAGCTCTCCGGCACATCGGAAGGCAGGCAGATGAGTTAATGGGTTAAAAACCAAACAGCTAAGCAAACACGGAGCTCAACTAGGTAAACACACTGCAGGCAGCGCCTGGAAACTGTGCAGACGGGGTTCTAAATGGACTATGGTTCATTAACATTCCACTGCACAGATAGAACATGGGTCACATCTAATGACTGTCACAAATAACCCTGCTCTGGCACTCTAATCCACTGCCATGTCCTCCATTATTCAATGCAGACAGGGGCCTTTCTTTAGGAAAAAAAAAAAAAGGCAGCATGCAGATAAACAAACAGGGAGAGAGGAGCAGAAAAAAGACAGATACACCACGGCCTACTGATACATTCTTTCACAATGAGCTGTTAAGCTGTTTCCAGAACTGAGCTTCAGTAAGTTTCAATATGCAGCACACTGCAGTGCGGGCTGCTCGGTCTGGGCTTCCACGCTGGCTGTAAGCAAAAGGCATGCATTTAAAACAGGTTCCCCCACCTCACACCGCAGTGCTCCCGGACTGTCAGCGCAAACAAACGCTAAAGAGCTATTGGTCGCCCGAAAGGCTGTGCCATGCAGAAAGCGTTCACATATTAAAGGCAGACAATACTTACTCCAAGGTCAGCCCCGGAATCTGCAGCCGCTCCCGCTGGGCTTTCATGGTTGTTATGTGTGAGCACACTCTATTGTAACCATGACACACGGTCCGCGGCAGCCAGCGTCCCGGTGATGACAGAGAGCTACATCAAACCTCTCCAAAGGACTGGACTAACAGTCTCTGGGGGGGAGGGGAGCCCTGTAAGTTTGGGTCCTTCCACCTCCAGCCGTAATCAGGAGGTGCCGGCTGCTCTCGGCAGGTTAACGCCGGTGCACACTGCACTCACTGCCTTAACAGAACAGGGCTTGCAGCTCTGCATAGCAAGTAATTGGGTTCGGGATTTTTTTTTTTTTTTAACAAAGTCGCTCTACTCACAGACCCACTTTTCACCTCAGGGAAATGCAAAGTCCTTGGCACCACACACGCTGGAAAAAAAAATCATAAAGCAACAGTATCACACTTAAAAAGAGTTTATGTCAGCCAGTATGGACTGTCTCCACCTCCGTATTACACTCATGGGTAGCAGAATTGAGCCACCCCAAGGAAGTTGCGCTGATTTTTTTCCCGGCAGTTCACAAAATTACTTACGTCCCACAAGACACAAGGCATGGTACTGAACAGATATAATTGGGGTCTTTTTTTTTTTCTATATATGGTAATCATCAGAAAGAGGAATAAACTAACTTAATCTGGGGGAAGGTGAACCCATTTGAGGCAAGGACTCCCTTGAACAGGCAGATTCCTCCAATGAGAAAATAACAACCAGAAATGCAAGAAGAAAAGGCATAGGAGCTTGGATATTTATTTTTTGAAAAGCAGATTTGTAAGAGCATCTCAGTGCTGTGCACTTCATAAAGCAATCTAACTTGTATAAGGGAGGAGAAAGAAAACACACACTTTGAAAGCCTGGAAGTTTCATTCTGTATTTATCCAAGAGACAAAATTTTTCACACTATTCCGAACTTGGAACGAAGTGTACTGCCATTGTCTATGAAGAACGTATCTGACTCACTTCCTCACAGCCATTTCAAAATGTGTTAAAACTTGGCAGCCAGTGGGCTGCTGAGAAGACGCACAAGAACTCAGAACCTTCCTTTATCAAGAAAGCTAGTTTTCAAGAACCACAAAAGCCACAGCCACACACAAAACACACACAGCCAAACTGGCTCAAACACTAAGTAAACCCAAGTCATGTACATTGCAAAGGTTATGCAGTTATGAAGTCAAACTCCATCTTCCCGCAGAACCTGGGGACACACAACAGGCAATGGTGCTAGGATTTAGATCCTCACGTTCTGGCTGTGATTCCAGAAGGCTTCCGTAGGCAGGGATGCCACAGGTGGTTCTGCAGGTTGTGTTCTGCTCAAGAGTGCCGGACAGGGAGGCAGGTGGAGCTGAACCCCAGCCTGGTCCCAGTTTTGCCGAGCCTGCACCTTGCTCTGGGCTCCTTCTAGCCCGTTTCGCTCATTTTCACAAAGTCACCGTTTGGTCCATGCCCTTCCAGGGAACCACCTGCTTTGAATTTGACAAAGGTGCCTATGGGCTGGTGGACATCTATGTGATATTCCCAGAATCCTTTTCTAAACCCTAACGGCCGCCCACTTACTGTATGGCATCTGCAGGGGTTCACTGGGTACCTACTTCTCCCTGAGTGTGGGCTCAGGGAACGAACCAGCCTCCAGCCTTTCAGAGGCAACAATTTCATTCCGGAAATAGAGTCCTCGGACAGACACTGCCTCCAGAGGGTCGCAAATGAGTCAAAAACCATTGCAATTGAGTCTAAAAAAGCAGGACAGGAAGAAAGAAGAAAGATGTCAAGGAACACAAAGGCAGAGAGAGTAAATTCCTTAGGAGGCCTGAAAGCATGAGTGCCACAAACCAGGCTGTAATAAAAGAGAAAACCAACCCATCACAATCTTAGATTAAAAATAAATAAATAAAACTCAACTCTCAAATTCTTTAATCTTGTAAGGTAAACCCACAAGCCAGGACACACATTACAATATTATTCAGCAGACTGCTACACACAGATCTCAAGTGAATTTCAGTTCCATACGGCCAATGGACTACACAATGTTAACATGCATTGCCTATCCCTAATTTAACATAACCCAAAGCAAATGCACCATCTTGCCCCAACCCCCAAATAAGCCTCCTTCTGGCATAAATATCCATACTCTCTCCATCCTTTCCACCTAACCCACTGTGAAGCAAGATACAAAGGGTCCTGGCTCAACTGCTGGAATTCTCTACTACCTGCTCTCTGCACTTCCTCCCAGCACCCTCTGCACTTTGAGGGCCACGTGAACTCCAGCATGCTCTTTCCCAACATTCCTGTCTCACACTTCTGTTCAAAAACCTCCAGCCTCTTCCCTCTCATTCAGAGCAAAAGCCAAATGAACAATCCAGCATACTTGGCCCAAAACAGGATAACTGAGCAATAGCAATGATAAGGGCAATGTATTCTAACATACCAATGCTTACAGTCAGGATGGAGGGGAGGGAGGAAGAGACCAGCCAGCCAGCCAGCGAGGGGCCACTCTGGAGTAGACAGAGATCGATCCCACTCATCCCACACACTGTGAAAGAACCAGCATTTCTCCTGCTTTCCTTATGAACTGCACCTCGCACAGGGGGAAATGATTCTCTTTATAGAAGTTCTCCAACTGATCAGTTTTCAAACCCTAGTGAGCTGGTGGATCATTAAGGGCCACTGACATCACAAAGAGACTCCGGACATCAAGAGCCTCTGGAAGCAACATGCATGAAGCAGTCTCCAACCACGCCAATTCCCCCTGGGGTACAACCAGGCCTCTACATCCAGTCCAGCCCCAAATCAACAGTGCTATTCTAGAATCCGCACCCCAGGAGCAAGGGTCCATTTCTGCAGGAAGCTCCCCAGCACCAACCAGTTGTAAATATTTTCTGTTGGATTCCATCTGCACTCAGCTTGGGCAGGGGGTGAGAAGTCTTATCGTTTCCTTTCCCATCCCTGGTGTCTTCTCTCAGCAATGTCACTCACCACAGTGCACGTACACACTTCTGTCCTGATTTCAAAGGGAACAGCTTTTTATAGCCAGGGCCCCAGAAGTGTCTTAGTCACAGAAACCTAATTACTAGGGTCTCTATGCCACTTAAGAACAGCAACCTAGATTGGGAATTCTGCAAACCAAGATGACCCAGCCTACCTATAAAATAAGCTCTCCCCACCCCTGCCCCTGCTCTGAGGCCTCAAAGATGCTGGTACAAGAGCAAAGCCAGCTGTGTGCATCAGAGGTCCAGGTAGGTGCAAATGGGACTGACACATAAGAGTTTTGACTTTGCAGGTGAAATCAAGGGGAGGGTCTGCCCAGTCAAGTATTTTCTTACTCTTTCGCTTTCTAGATTCAAGGTTTCCATAAGGAATACATAAAACCCTAAGGCAAGAGACAAAGAGGACATCAAACTCCCTGATTGTTCAATAATTTCAGTAAGAAAAGATGCACACATTTGGGGAAAGCATTCAAAAAAGGGAAGTGTATGTGTGTATGTTCCCTGCTTTTCCCATTCAGACCCCAGGAAAGATAAAGGCGTCACCACTGTCATGTTCAGACTTAATAAACTTGGATCCAGCAGTCTCTGCTCCACCTGTGAGAGAGACCACAGAAGATGGAATAGAAAGGGACATGTGTGCATTCCATGTATCAGGGGAAATAAATTAGGCCACAAAGGAGATCATTTCCAATGATGACACATGCTGCCATCATGGGTGACAGTCAACGAGATGGGGAGTGGAAACTCCAACAACTGAGTGTAGGGAAACCAGACACTTACAACACAAATGGAATGTAATCACTGGCTCATCAGTAATACACACACACACACACTCATGAGCCCTTTAGCAATACTGTAGTCCCCAGCACCTGTGACTATATAAATTTGTGCAGTAAAAAGTCTTCACCAATGTGAGCAGATGTGGAGATGAGATAACCCTCATTATCTACATGGACCCAGTGAGCCCTAAGAGCCCTGATGAGCAGAAAGGAGGAGGTAGGAGACCCAGGGAAGGAGGCCGGAAGAAGTCGAGGTTGGAGTAATGTGGCCAGAAGCCAAGGAAGGCAGGCGGCTCTCACCAGCTCTACAGCTGAGGAAGGAGATTCCCCACTGAAGCCCCCAGAGGAGAGCAGGGCTCTGATTTCAGCTCCATAAGACCCACCCCAGATTTCTGATCCCAGAGCTACAAGATGACAAACTTGTATGGTTTTAAGGCACTCTTTATGGTAATTTGCTACAGCACCACCAGGAAACTGATACCTACATAACTGTAAAGCATAAACAGTGAATATTGCGTTAACCACACATCATACCATAATACAAGGTGAATTAAGAAAGTTCATGGAAATTGGAATTAAAAGATAGGTTTATTTTGTTGCCAAAAAAAAAAAAAAAAACTACACTGAAATCCGTGCATACATAAAGTCTTCAAAAGGCTCACAGAAGATGTGTATTGTGAAAAATTATGCACAGATTTCATTTTTTTGCATTACAATAAACATATTTTTAAAGATTTTATTTACTTATTTGAAAGTCAGAGTTACACAGAGAGAGGAGAGGCAGAGAGAGAGAAAGAGGTCTTCCATCCTCTGGTTCACTCCCCAATTGGCCGCAATGGCCGGAGCTGCGCCCATCCGAAGCCAGGAGCCAGGAGCTTCTTCCAGGTCTCCCATGCAGGTGCAGGGGCCCAAGGACTTGGGTCATCTTCTACTGCTTTCCCATGCCAGAGCAGAGAGCTGGATTGGATGAGGAGCTTCCAGGTCTCAAACCAATGCCCATTTGGGATGCCGGTGCTTCAGGCCAGGGCGTTAACCCACTGCGCCACAGCACCAGTCCCCTCTATTTGTTTCACAAATATTTTTTCCACAAACTTTTTCAAGTGTCTCATAGTACCATAACTCTTTTGAAGTTAGGGAATGAGGGGTTGCATTGAGGTATAGCGGGTAAGCCTGGCTGCTCCACTTCTGATCCAGCTCCAGGCTAATGTGCCTGGGAAAGCAGCAGAGGATGGCCCAAGTGCTTGGGTCCCTGTACACACATGGAAGACCTGGATGAAGTTCTTGGCTCCTGGCTTCAGCTTGGCCCAGCCCCAGTTTTGCAGCCATTTCAGGCGGGGTAAAACAGCAGATAGAAGATTCTTTATCACTCTCTCTCTCTCTAACTCTGCCTTTTTGAAACCTTAAAAAATGCAGTTGGAGGCCGGCACCGCGGCTCACCAGGCTAATCCTCCGCCTGTGGCTCTGGCACCCCAGGTTCTAGTCCCGGTAGGGGTGCTGGATTCTGTCCCGGTTGCCCCTCTTCCAGTCCAGCTCTCTGCTGTGGCCCAGGAGTGCAGTGGAGGATGGCCCAAGTCCTTGGGCCCTGCACCCACATGGGAGACCAGGAGAAGCACCTGGCTCCTGGCTTCGGGTCAGCGCAGTGCGCTGTGTCGCTCCCCCTCTTCGTGGAGGAACGACACAGGACCCTGCGCTGTTCTTTTCGTCTGCTCGGCCCTCCCCGGGTTTGCTGCTGGTTCTTCCCGGGTTGGCTACTATCCCTTCCACCTCCGTGGAAGGGCAGTTCCCCCTAGCCACATTCCCCACTTCCGCAGGGGAGCGGCACACCGCCGGCCGGTTCTCTCGGGGGCTGCACGGGTTCCCTTAGATGTTCCCCATAGATGTTCCTCGTGCATGCCGTCTCTCTCCTCCTTTATAGTCCTCCTCCGCCAATCCTAACTCGGCTGCCCACACGCCGAGTACGCTGCTCTCCAATCAGGAGCAAGTCCTACAGTTAATTGGTTGAACTGGAGGCAGCTGTGCGGAAGCTGTTTACTTCTCTCCCAGCGCCATATTGTGGGAGAGCAGATGCATAGAATAAGTCCTAATTCGAGTAACTTAGTCTAGTCCGGATTGCTCCCCACACGCTGGCCACAAAGGCCATTGGAGGGTGAACAAACGGTAAAGGAAGACCTTTCTCTCTGTCTCTCTCTCTCTCTCTCTCTCACTGTCCACTCTGCCTGTCAAAAAAAAATGCAGTTGAAATATGGAAAAATAAGGTCATAGATAATGAAGCAGTTTAACGAGTTAAGTCTTCATGTATTGTAATAAGAAGTCAACATATAATGTACAAAATTGGTAATAAGGAAAAACAACCTGAATGCATTATTGTGAAATGTGAAGAACATTATTAAAAGAAAGAGGTCAGAAGGAAACAGGACTGGAGAGTGGGGAGGGGTGAGGCAAGACTCTGGTTTTACATAAGTCCAGTAGCATTGTTAGGTTTTTAAAACCCTGTATATACATTATTTTGATAAGAATAAAAATTACTCTAAAAAGAAAAAAAGCTTAGCTGTCAGAGCTACTGGTGATCGCTCACTGCATCCCTGGCTTTTACAGCATTAACTTTCACTGAAGCATCGCCTGATTGTCATGCACTCGTAATCTCCTCTTTTCAGACCAGCATTTTAGACATGGTGGGACGCTCCCATCTTTCTGAGATTTGGAGATTTTCTTCCTCACAACAGTGTCTCCCTCACGATCATTGTGAATCAAAAGCTTTATCAACAGACATAAAAAAAAAAAAAAAAACCAAGCAAATGAAGCACAAAGAATGTGCGAGGGAAAGGGGGAATTAAAAGTGTCCAAGGTTTTCTCCATGGGATGCTGTCTCCGGGACACAAGGCCATACTCTGTGGATTAGGAGACTTCCCTGATGTGAGCACTGGGGCTGGCTGCCTTCCCATCCCCATCTCCAAACTGGTAGTAAGACCCCTCTTTGATTTTAATTTGTACTCGGGAGTGAAACTTGATGCTGCTTACCAGAACTGCAATTAAAAATTATTGTTTCCTACCAGTGAAGACCAAGAACATTAGCAACTATGCTATTAGGTTGACTCATGCACCAGTGAGCTACTCCCTGAACCAGGAAGCACGGTGCCTGCTTGCCGTTCATGCCCAGTCTGTCTCCCGGTTTTTCTCTGGGGACACCGGGATGTCCTCCTGTTCTCCATCCCTGATTGCAATGATTGCTTCTAGGATGCGCTGTGATGACTCAGGCTAAAGACAAACTACCGAAGAAAGAAAGTACACATCTTCCATTGTCTTGTGACCACCAGACTGACAACTGCCATCACCCAAAGGGCAGAACACACTCATACATGAGCAGAGTTGGGCATCAGTGAAACTGTTTCCGCTGTAGATCAAGGCAGACAGGAAGCTGGACATCTAAAGTTTCAAGGCACATGATCCAACAAGTCCATTCTCCTAGTCCAGTGTGGGTTGAATAGTCTATCACTTGTGATACTGACATAACCAAATGACACAATCAGAAATAACTTTAATAGCTTCCATTTTAACACAGTCTTCTCTTCTATAACTTAAGAAAGCAAAATAACAACACTACAGACCAAATTTTAAAATGCGTTGTAAAAGCAGCACTGCTTGCAATAACATAAAAACTGGAAATTGCCCAGTGGTTAATCAACAGTGGAATGGCTACATATATTATGGTATGTTCACCTTGTGCGATGTTATACAGTGATGAGAATGCGCTAATGTGAATGAATCTTGCTGACATCACATGACAAAAGAGAATTTAACTATCCTGTGGGGATGTGAAATGGTATACAAACTGTTGAAAATGCCATGGGGATTCCTCAGAATCTTCAACACAGAATTACTGTATGATCCAGCAATTCCACATCTGGGTACATACCCCGAAGAAATGACAGCAAAGACTCAAATGGGTATTGGGAGGTACATGGTCACTGCACGGCATTATCCCCAAGCGCCAAAGGTGGGAGCCAGCCAGGTGATCAACAAAGAGATGAACAAAACATGATCATTTGTGCACTGGAATATTATTAAGGCTGAAAAGGGAAATTCTAATACATGCTACAGTATGGATGAGCCATGAAGACACTGTATTAAGTGAAATAAACCAGACACAAAAGAAAAAGCATCATATGATTCCTCAGCTATCTAGAGATGTCAATGTCAGAAACACAAAGTAGAACACTTATCGCCAGAGACTAGGGGAAATGGGAAGTCAGGGTTTAATGAGTACAGAGTTCCATCTGGGGCAGATGCAAAAGTTCTGGAGAGGAATGGTGGAAATAGCTGTATAACAACATGAATGCAGTTAATGCCACAGAACGGCACACTTGAACACAGTCATAAAGGGAGAAAGTATTTAGCCTAGCAATCAAGAAGCCCACGTCTCAAGTCAGAGTACCAGTGTTTGATGCCCAGCTTCAGTTCCTGACTGCACCTTCTTGACAAAGCAGACCCTGGGAGCAGCAGTGATGGCTCAAGCGATGTGGGTTCCGGCCACTACAAGGGAGATCTGGACCGAGCTCTCTGCTTCAACCAGGCCCGGCTGCTGCAAGCATTTGGGGAATGAGCCTGCAGATGTGGGAGCTCCCTTGCACTCTCCATCTCTATCTCTGACTTTCAATAAATGCAATTTTTAAAAGAAAAATGGCTAAAATGGAAGTCTTATACTATTTGTCTCTCACCACATTTAAAAAGAAAGTATACCTATCCTTTGTTGCTGCTCACATGAAGTTCATGTGCAGGCACAGACAATCTATGTTATTAGCAGTCAGGGTAGTGGTTAAGATGGGGGAGGGTGTAGCAGGAAGAAATATTGGCAGGAAGCACTAGGGGCATCTGCCGTATGAATTATGTGCCATTTCTTGACCTAAGCGGACATGTCCAGCTCCCCAAACTTGTGCTTCTGGGGATTCCTCGGTCTCATGCTGCACCTCTCACAAAAGGGAGAACCTGTGTTAGAGGGTTTATTGCTTTCATGAACTACTCAAATATCTCCTTCTTAAAAAGCTATTTACAGTTAGCGTTGCTCTATCCAGAACTTAATGTAATACAAAAGAACCCGAGAGACATCACTCATTGACTATTTGTTTTAGACAACAAAGGAAGCAAAGTCAAGAAGTAAAAGTAAATTAATTCAGAGCCAGGAAAAATAGAACAGGATGATAAATTCATGGGAAAAGACAGAACCTATATATACAGGAAACACAAAATCCTAAAGTACAAAGATAAATTTTATGGAGTTTGCTATTATAATTATCATCATTATCATTACTACCTGGTATGTGATAAATACTATATTACATATTTTTATAATATATTGTGATATTTATAATGCTATATATGTTTATAATTATCCAAAATACTTATTTAAATTCATATAAAGAACTTTAGCTTGTCTGAGTTTAATCATAAAATGTTTTCAGGCCTTAAAACTAGAACTGTATCAAAAGAGTTACATTGGCTACATTCTGGGGAAAGAAAGGGAATAGGGAGGGAGGGACAAGTTGATCCAAATTTATTTGCCTTAATTATACTTTCTATACTGACTTTCACCCTGATATTCCAAATTCTACTAATTAAAACAAAAAAAGGTCAAATACTCAAAGAAGATTTCAATGTTGTTGGGGTATTTTTTTTAAAGATTTATCCATTTATTTGAAAGTCATTGTTACACAGAGATAGGAGAGGCAAAGAGAGAGAGAGAGGTCCTCCATCCGATGGTTCACTCCCCAATTGGCTGCAATGGCCGAGCAGAGCCCATCTAAAGCCAGGAGCCAGGAGGTTCTTCTGGGTCTCCCATGCAGGTGCAGGGGCTCAAGGACTTGGGCCATCTTCCACTGCTCTCCCAGGCCAGAGCAGAGAGCTGGATTGGAAGTGGAGCAGCCAGGTCTTGAACCATCGCCCATATGGGATGCCGGGGCTTCAGGCCAGGGCGTTAACCCACTGCGCCACAGTGCTGGCCCCTGGGGTATTATTTTTTTAAGACTTATTTTTTTTTTTTATTTGAAAGAGTTACAGAGAAAGAGAGGGATAGAAAAGAGAGATCTTCTATACTATTCTGTCTTCTATCCTGGTTTACTCCCAGATGGCTGCAAAAGCCAGGCCTGTGCCAGGATAAAGCTCGGAGCTTCATCTGGGTCTCCCACATGGGTGGCAGGGACCCAAACATTTAGGCCATGTTCCACTGTTTTTTTCAGGCTATTAGCAGGGAGCCGGATTAGAAGTGGAGCAGCCAGGACTTGAACCAGCACCCAAATGGGATGCTGGTATCGCAGGCAGTGGCTTTACCTACTATGCTACAATGCCAGCTCCGAGTTGATGTTGTGGCCACCACGTGTGCCTGGATTTCAGGCAACTTATGAGAGCAATAGAGAAAATGAAGTTTCATCCCTGTCTGTTTCTATCAGCCAAGCAACGCGAAGAGAATCATGTACTGATTTTAATGTGACAGCTTCACATCTTCATCAACTAGAAAGAGGAGGCTGCAGGAAATGTAGTATTGAATAGTAAAGTGAGTGGGAGTCTAGATGCCAGAGTCTAGGCGGCAAAGCAGAAACCTTAAAAGACTTGAAATCTCAAAGAAATCAGAGAATACTGTTAACCCATTACCTAGCACTTTCCATCAAACTACCATGGACTTGAAATTGAACATGCTTCACCAGAAAAGAGAAAAATGTTCACACATGTTTCTTTGTGTACAGATGGAAACAGCAGCAGAAGAAAAGGCAAAGCCGTATTCCTAACTTCCATGTTCCTTCCACAGGTCAGGACCAGGCAGCAGCTCAGGTCTGGTCCAAACCCCTACAGGCATCATAAAAGTCACACAGAAAAAATTCATTCCGTTTCCAAGGTCCTACTTCTTCCACGGCACAAACAACAATAAAGAACCCAGAGGTGAAAAGAATTAGTACATCATAAAAAATAGGAAAGAAAAATAAAATACCCTCACACTGACCGTCCCTAACAGAATTTACTCACATTGTTAAATTTATGCAGCCAGTCCCTGGGAGCCCCATAAATACTGGGCCCATAATCAAGCTGTAATCATTCATCTTATTTACATTTCATCAGGGGCCACTAAGGTAATGATCTTCGAAAGACTTCCCTGCAGCCAATGAGAAAGGAAGTGGATATCCTAAAAGGTATGGGCATAAAAAGGGAATGGCATTTGTCCCCAAGGCACAGAATTATTAAAAACAATCTGTTTTAAAAGTTAGTGTGTGCACTTTATGCAATCTTGACTTTTAATTGTGCTCTAAATAATTTTTACTCCACACATTGCACGTGAGGTGAGACCTGAATTTCTCAGACCAGAGAATTTAGACCGAACTTCCAGCAGTATGTGGAAAACAAACTTCCATGAAATAGATGTTGCAACAGTAATTTCCAACACATCTAGAACATTCACCATATATATTACCACTTGTCATTCACTGTTGGTAACAATCCATGACAACCTTGCAGGCACTTCATGGCAATTTGAATAGCTGAACAAAAGGGCAGAGCAGCAATAAACTAAATAAAACATCCAGTGCTGGCATCATCCCTTTGAAGGCTGTCAGCCATACATTTTGAATAACCTGAAATGAAGATCAAAAAGGAATAGAATGCATTTATTTATTTATTTTACCTGAGGCGGCGAATGAAAAGAAAGCAAAATTTAGAATAGAGAGAAAGTCTAAATTTAGGCAAACATCAGTATCTTGTTCATAAAGAAGTTCAAAAAGTGCATCAAAATCATAAAGCATGACATTGATGTATGAAATTGAGGCCAACGCTATGGGAAAAGTTAAAGAAAATTCAAACCAGGCATTCCTTTCTCTCACTTTTTTCCTTCCAGTCATCTTCCGACCTTCCACTAACACCGTTCCTGTGTCATGGACACCACTCAGACTCTGTGCTAGCTGTAGCGTGAGAGTGGTTCTTTTCTATGGCGACTCCCTGGGAGTTGTTAGTGCTTCTCCTTCCTTTCCCAAGCCCATTTTAAAGACAGGAAGAACATGATCGAACTCAATACAGGAAGGAAAGGAACACAGAGGCTGCGTTATTTTGAAATGACACACAGACAGCACAAAACATTTGGCTATTACTTTGACAGGAGCTTCCCTGCCTTAAGACACATGTAAAAGAGCATAGTTCACAAAAAGCAGAGGTCAAAAGTGCTTGTGGAGGGGCCTGTGCTGTGCAACAGTGGGTTAAAGCCCAAGCCTGCAGTGGTTGCATTCCAAATGGGCACCAGTTCAAGCCCCAGCTGCCCCTCTTCCTATCCAGCTCCCAACTAGTGCACCTGGGAAAGCAGCAGAGGATGCCCAAGTCATTGGGCCCCTGTATCCACGTGGGAGATCAGGGTAAGCTCCTGGCTCCTGGGCTCAGCTCTAGACATTGAAACCATTTGGGGAGTGAATGAGCAGATGGAAGACCGACCTCTCTCTCTCTCTCTCTCTCTCTCTCTCTCTCTCTTTCTACCTCTCTCTGTAACTCTTTCAAATAAATTTTAAAATAAGTGCCTGTAGAATAGTTGAACATATGCTGAGTATGCAATTTTAATGGGCACCATGGAAAACTCTGATGTCACTAATAATTCATTCTCTACAAAAGATAATTTAGTTAATAAGATGATTCTGTATATAGGGTATAACATAATTATCCCATTGAAAAACTAAATATGATTCTAGCACTCAGTGCTGTAAGTTTCCCTACCAGAAGAACAGTGGGTGGTCACTGTGGCTCATCAACCTTCAGCAGACACAAAAGGCGGCACCTGCTCCTGTCCCTCCCGGATGAGCCTCACCTCGGTGATTTTCCTCTCTAGGAAGCTGTTCCCACACCAGGCAGCCACATCTCTTTGACTGCCTCTATGAGGCTCAGGGACTAGCACCCAAGAGGTTCTGAACAATCCTGAAGGCGGCTTTAAGCTGGTACTAGTGCAGACTGGTGACTCGATTCATCATTTATAACCTAGCTTCGCTGGGGAAATAGAGTCATAGATTTTAGATAACCAACTTGAATGTGAACTCTTTAAAAAGAACTCATTGAAACCCATGAGTGTTTCACAAGAGGCGTCTAAAAACCAGGTTCTCACTCAGCTGGAGATTTTACACTTAAGATTTCTTGTTTGCTGCTCTCACTCAGTGAGATCTTGAACCGGTTACTTAGTCTCTGCTACGTTTACTCATTTGTAAAATGAAGGCTAGCTACCTAGATGCTGGATGCTCACTTACTTCCCTGAACAACTGTCCCCATAAAAGTTGGAAAAGCCCAGAGCACAGTAGGTAAGATTCTCAGAAAACTCAGAAAACTCCCAATGACTCTCATACAAGAGTTCTGTAAAAAGCTTAAAGAAAGTGGAATGAGAATATAAGTTTATGTTGGCTCCAAAAAAAAAAAAAAAATGAAATCTATGCATGCAAGGGGTCTTGGAAAATATACACTATGAAAAAAACTATGCATGAATTTCAAAATTTTCTTGTGCCACAATAACCTTATTTGGACTTTCAGAAGTTCCCTGGTCTGGGAACAGAACCTGTGAAAACTGATGGGATATCACTCACACGACGAGGTTATCCATGGATCAGCTTCACCTTAATGCGAAAGAAGTTTATGCTGGGTGCAGCTGATCTCTCAGGTAAAACCCCAAAAAGATAGAAGTGTCAGAGTCCTGCTTCTGCTACCAGCCTCCAAGATGTTCGCTGCCATGAGTTTGATGCTTACAAGAGGGTGAATTCTGCCAGCAACCCAAAGAGCTTAGAAGAAGACTCCACTGAGCCCACCAATCTGCAGCACTGGGAGATAATAAGTGGGCACAGCTCTACACCATTGGGTGTATGGTAATTTCACATTCAGCAATAGAAAACTAATACAGAGCACAGCTATAAATTTATGTTTCCATAACCTCAGGGAAGAGAAACATAGAAGTCACACAGAATAAACATATAAGAAAGAAAATGGAAGAAGGAAAAGGAGGGAGTTGAGATTTATTGAACCAGGCATTCTGGCAGAAGGTTTACAAATGTTAGGTCTTACAGAGAAAGTTTAATTCAGAATGAAGTTTGAAGGTCTCCTATTACTCTAACATAGAATTTTAACTTACAGCCCAGTAACTACCAACTTAACCAAAGGTTTAGCTTCACATCATAGTAGAAACATTGTAACTGGCAAAAGACAGATGGCTTTGAAGATCTGTGTTTTAAAACCATTCTGACTTTTGATCCAACAACACAAACTCACTTGCTTTTTCACCTGGGCCATTCAAGAATAATTTTCTCTATTAGTAGG